TGGGTGGCCCAGGGGAGCTGGGGCTCAGGCTCGGGGGAGGGGCCGAGGGGGACGAACCACCACGAACCACGACGAACATGAAGACGTCCGAGCTCTAGAGCACAGCTGTGCAAGAGAAGAACTTCTCCCTAATAAAAAGTGGCAACAGCTTCACAGGTGGAGGGAGGGCTGTTTTCCAACTGTGGCTCTCGCCATAGCTCGGCGCACACTCGCTCAAAAAAAACTTGCAGGAGCTTCACGGGTTGAGGGCGGGAGGTTCTCAACATGTGGCTCTCGCATTTAGCGCCGCGCACAATCGTTGTGAACAGTTGCAAGAGCTTTACGGATTGAGGGCGGGTGGCTTTCAAAATGTCGCTCTCGCCTTAACGCCGCGCACATTCGTGCCTAAACATTTGCAAGAGCTTCACGGGTTGAGGGCGGCTCCTTTTTCTAATGTGGCCCTCGCCTTAGCACCGCGCACACTCGTTTTATAAATAATCCCAGTGCGACCCTACCTAGGAGTTGGAGGATCTAGGAAAGTAACATCTAACATCTATGTGAAGCTAAGCTAAGCTAGGATGAAGCTAAGCTAAGATGAAATAAGATCAGCTAAGATAAGATAAAGGAACTTCATGGATTGAGGGTGGCTCCTTTTCAAAATGTGGCTCTCGCCTTAGCGCCGCGCACATTCGTTTTAAAAAATTGCAGGTGTTTCACGGATTCCCATGATCAGCGTACCAGAATTAGTGTTTTGAAAGGATTCAGGATCACGCGGGTGCAACCAATACTTATGTTCATTCGCGCTGGCATTTTGGCACGATTCCGGATCGTCAAGACGCAGCAGTCAGGTGGATCTGTGGCGTTGAAATCCCGAGAACAATGTTTTGGCATGCTTCATGGTCTTTAAGCGGTTGTCTTCCAACGAGGCAGTTCCTTCAATGGAAATGAATCGTTGTAGGGCCTATGAAAGGGGAGCTTGGAGGGAGGGTTTATTCCATCATCGTTGATGACTCTTGGGTTTACACTGATCCTCCTCCTCCTCCTCCTCCTCCTCCTCCTACTACCTCCCCTCTCCTCCTCCTCCTCCTCCTCCCCCCCCCTCTCCTCCCTCATCATCATCCTTCTTCTCCTCCTCCTCCCCCTCCTCCTTCTCCTCCTCCTCCTTCTCCTCCTCCTCCTCCTCCTCCTCCTCCTCCTCCTCCTCCTCCTCCTCCTCGTCATCATCATCATGATATCCGACGTTCCGGGGCTGGTGCTACTCTGGTCTTTCCTCCGGGGAGCTGGCTGGCGAGGTGAGGGACGCTTTCGGCGGGTCAGCCTCCTGCCGGCGCGTTTCTTTCCTCGCAGGTAGCGCCCACGACGGCGTGGGCGGGAGTGGAAGGCTGGGAGGGCTCGTCATGGGGGACCTTCCATGTCAACACTGGCGACGGCTCCCGCAACTGTTCCGGCGACCGCACTGGGCCGCAAGCTGGGCGGATCCCGGGAGCTGGGGGCGGTCTCCGAACCTGCCCGCCAAGCTCTTTTCGCCGTGAGGAGAAGAAGCAGTGCCCCCAGGCGCCGTCCCTTGTCGGGCGCCAGGGGGCCCATGGGTTGCGGGGGGCGGGGGCCACATTCGCAAAAACTTACAAGCCCAAGCCTGCATGGCTGCGAAGGGGAGAGGTAAGGAGGGAGAGGAGGAGAGGAGCGGGCGACAGAAGGGGGGAATGCCAAAGTAACTGGCCTTGCCCTAACAAAACCACTCTGTCGCGGTCGCGACTCATTATGGAGCACTGCATTGGACATTCAGTCACCTCTTAGCGCGTACTGTCCCTGTCTACTGTGGCCAGGCGCGTGCTGGTTTTATAGCCGTCCAATTTAAGAGGGCACCCCAGGGGCCCACCGTGCCTAATAGTTGCACGACACCTTTTGCGCACAACTCACCCGGCCGGCAACCCGTGCCACAGCGCCAAGGCTGTCGCGCGGTCCGCGCTCTCCTCCTGGGGCCTCCCCGAGGTGGGCATCCGTGTGGCCCATCCTCTGGCTCCCCGCGCGGAGGTCGAAAGCGCGAAAAAGCAGTCCGCCGCCATCTTTCCACGTCGCGAACAACCGACGTCGCGAAAAGACTGCAGCACCGTGGGAGATCACAACCAGAGCCCTGGACCCCATGTTTCCGCGGCATGCTCGGGCCAGACCGATGCGTGAGCCCAGGGCCCGAAGCTGGGGGAAAACGCTCAACACAACAACAACAACAACAACAACAACAACAACAACAACAACAACAACAACAACAACAACAACAACAACAACAACAATTACTAGCACGTGGGGACACTCCGTTCTCACCAGTGCCAGGGTTTTCATAGGAGGCGGCCAATACCCCCACTTTGTGGGGGGGCCGGTTCAAGCTCTACCAAATTTCCAAACGACTCTTCGCCACCACCCACACCCAGCTTCCCGCCCTATGACGTTCGGACACTTCACTTCGTGCATGCGGACGACCGTGGCTACTATTCAGGGCCCCGCGGCCGACGACGACGGCGTGCGCGCGCGAAGAAAAAACGAATGTGTCCCGCATGGTATTATTTGACAGGGATGATGGCCCTGGCAGGTGCGCAACCGTTGTCGCAGAAGTTCGAAAAAGTTGCTCGCAAAAGCCCGTTTGACAGAAATGTTTGAAAAGTGTTGGGTTTCCTACGAATCCGCAAGAGCGCGCGGGATGAGATTTTGACATTTTTTTGTTGAAAAACCATTGTTTTTTTGATGTGTTTATGTTAAAATCGTTGCGAACACTAAAGGTTTTGGAAGGATTTCGTCTTGCGCGCGCGAATGTCCACTTTACCTTATTTTTGCAAGGGATTCTTGAAGTTTGGATATGTTAGAACAAGAAATGTCCACTTTAGCTTATTTTTTGCAAGGGAAAACCGATCGTAACAACACAACCGGATCCGGACCAACCCGTTTTGCTTGAGACTTCCTCACGAAAATGATGAAAACGTGGCTGCGGCCTAGGCGCGGCGGGGGGGTCGTGCACCAGGGGTCCCAACAATAATTATTCTTTAGAAGTAATAAATGTTCAACAACAACAACAACAACAACACCGACAACAACAACAACAACAACAACAACAACAACAACAACAACAACAATTACTAGCACGTGGGGACACTCCGTTCTCACCAGTGCCAGGGTTTTCATAGGAGGCGGGCAATACCCCCACTTTGTGGGGGGGCCGGTTCAAGCTCTACCAAATTTCCAAACGACTCTTCGCCACCACCCACACCCAGCTTCCAGCCCTATGACGTTCGGACACTTCACTTCGTGGCATGCGGACGACCGTGGCTACTATTCATGGCCCCGCGGCCGACGACGACGGCGTGCGCGCGCGAAGAAAAAACGAATGTGTCCCGCATGGTATTATTTGACAGGGATGATGGCCCTGGCAGGTGCGCAACCGTTGTTGCAAGAAGTTCGAAAAAGTTGCTCGCAAAAGCCCGTTTGACAGAAATGATTAAAAAGTGTTGGGTTTTCCTACGAATCCGCGAGAGCGCGCGGGATGAAAATTTGACATTTTTTTTTTTTTTTGAAAAACCATTGGTTTTTTATGTTTTTATGTTAAAATCGCTACGGAAACTAAGGTTTTGGAAAGATTTCGTCTTGCGCGCGCGAATGTCCACTTTACCTTATTTTTTTGCAAGGGATTCTTGAAGTTTGGTTACGTTAGAACAAGACATG